TTTTTTTTGTCCCCCTCCCAAATGAAATATCAAAAAAAAAAAAAATTTTATTTAAATTAAAATATATTTTAAAAATTAAACCCTTTATAAAAAATTTTTCTCTTAAATACCCCGGGAAATTTAAAAAAATTCCCTTTTTTTTTCCATTTTGTGGAAGAAAAATTATAATTTTATTTGACCAAAAAATTAAAAAAAAAAAAAAAAAATTTAAAATTATTTAAAATTTATTTTTTAAATTTTTTTTAAATTTTTTTATATTTTCAAAAAAAAAAAAAAAAAAAATTAAAAACGAAATTAACAACAATTATTTCATATATTTTTTGGAAATATAAATAGATATAATATATAAACCACAAACCGGATAGCCCAACAGCCCACCAATCAAAATAAACCATTATATAGATATATAAAAATAAAAGAATGGGTGATAAAAATGATGATAATTTATCGCTTCCAAAAGCCACAGTTTCAAAATTAATTAAAGAGATATTACCACAAGAAGTAAAGTGTTCAAATGAAACCAGAGATTTGATTTTAGAGTGTTGTGTAGAGTTTATTCATTTAATATCAAGTGAAGCTAATGATATTTGTGGTAAAGATAATAAAAGAACAATTGCACCAGAACATGTTATTAAAGCGTTAAAAGTATGTAATATAAATATAATATAGTTTTATAAAACTATAATGTTCAACTCATAATATATTTATTCTTTCATTACAATATATATTTAAAATAATTGTTTATTAACTTTTTATTTATATTTTAGGAATTGGGATTTGGAGATTATATACAAAAAGTTACAGAGGTTTATGATAAACATAAATTAGAGGTTAGTACAAAAACAAAGAGTAGCAAGAAATTTGAAAATTTAGGTAAACCAACAGAACAACTTATTAAAGAACAACAACTTTTATTTGCCAAAGCAAGATCAGCTTATCAACAGTCTGCTGAGGCCCAACAATTACAACAACAACAACAATTACAATTACAACAACAAGGTTTACAACCACCTCAAACCAACCCACAACTTCCAAACCATTCAGAAAATAATAACAATAATCAATAGTCAGTAATAATAAAAATAATAATATCAATAATAATCATGTCATAACGATAGTTAATAATAATTAAAAAGTGTTTTTTTTATTATAATTATTTAAATTTCTTTAAAAAATAAAATTTTAAAAAAAATAAAAAATGAAAATAAAAAAAAAAATGTATTATTTAAATTATTTATATCTCATTAACTCCACTATTTTTTTTATTATTTTCTTTTTTTTTTTTTTTTTTTTTTTTTTCATTCAATTTTTCTATTTATAAACAAACATGCAAAGAGACATATCTATATGGCAATGATAACAAAAAACTGATTTATACTTGTTAAAATAAAATTTTAATTTTTAATAATATTATTTTAATTTTTATTTATTTTTTTTATTTTTTTTAATTTTTTTTTTTTCCCAAAATTTTTTTTTAATTTTTATTATTATAATTAATTGTGTTACTGTGTGCAAGATTTATTTATTATTATTTATTATTTATTATTTATTTATTATTTGTTTATTTATTTATTTTATTTTATTTTTATTTTTATTTTTATCTTAATTTAAAAAAATAAAATTTTTTTAAAAAAAAAAAAAAAGAAATCACATGTATCAATACCAAAATAACAATAACAGTTTCCAACAAAATAATTTCCAACAAAATTATCAGCAACAAAGTCTTCAACAGCAACAACCACAGCTCCAATATGGGAACCAAAATTTATCACAATTTAATAATTCATCAATGATGTACCAAAACCAAAACAATTCATTCATTGGAATGAATGCAAATATTGGTGGTGGTATGAATAATAATAATAATATGGGAATGAATAACAATAATATGGGAGTGAATAACAATAATATGGGAGTGATGAATAACAATATGGGCGTTAACAATTCAAATAACTTTGGTGCAAATAATAATAACAATGTAAATAACTTTGGTATGAATAACAATGTGGGTGGTAATAGCTATGATAGTTTTCCATCACTTCAAGCACAACTTAATAATTTAAACAATTTTAATGGGTTAAATAAAATGAACAACACAAATAACAGTAATAATATGAATAATATGAATAATATGAATAATATGAATAATATGAATAATAATATGAATAATATAAATAATAATATGAATAATAATATAAATAACAATTTAAGTAACAATAAAAATAATGGTTTACTTAGTCCAATCAACAATAATCCAAATAATACTCCAAATAGTAATGTTAATAACAATAATGTTAATAATAATAATAATAATTCATTCTATAATTCGAATAACAATATGTTACAAGGTTTCCCAAGTAGATTGCCATTCTCTGAACAACAGCAACAATCAGCAAATACCACACCTAATACATCATATTTAAATGTAAAAGGCGAAATTCCACCAATTAGCAACGAGTCGAAGGCACAATATATAAATGTATTTTATAAAATTGGTGCTGTTGATGGAACAAAACTTCCAGGAAGTGTAGCTAAACCAATTTTCCAAAAATCAGGTTTATCAAATGAAGATCTTTCAAAGATTTGGAATTTATCAGATATCGACAAAGATGGTTGCCTATGCGATCAAGAGTTTAGCATTGCAATGCATTTAATCTATGCTGTAAAAAATGGAATGTCCATTCCCGCTGCCCTACCAAAACATCTTATACCAGCATCCAAAGTAATCTATAACGTTTCAAATCCATCAAATAAAAATGATTGGCAAACATTTGACCAAGCAACTATTCATTATAACAACAATAACAATAATAACAGTAATAACAACAACGTAATACAAGCCCAATTCCAACAACAAAATTTTCAACAAAACCAATTTTTTACATCAACACCATCAAGCGAATTTATTCCATCAAGCTATGTTCCAAAATCCAATGTTCCAGGTAGCGCAATTACCTTTGACCAAAGAGTTGCTTTATCATCTGATCTTGATGCTGCTCTTGCCAAAAGAAAACAATTTCAATAAAAAAACACCTTTAATTGTTTAAAAGAAAAAAAGAACCTATATATTTATTTATATTATATATAACATTGAATAAAAACTCCTTTTTAATTTAAAAAAAAAAAAAAAAAAAAAAAAAAAGATTTTTATTTTGTAAACTATAAATCGCGCTTTTTATTTTTTATTTTTTTATATATATCGACTAAATTTAGTCATCGAGCTCACCAATATAAACAATTCCAACTTTGCTTTTTTTATCTTCAGCGTCTTCTAACATTTCGAATGGTTCGTCGCTATTATGAAACTTTTCAAATAAATCTGTACAATCTTTACCAGCATGATCTGCAATATATTGGTCGTTAATACCTTCACCTGGGTGATTAGAGTGGAATTTACTGCAATCAAAAACCTAAATATTAAATATTAAATATAAAAAAATGTAAATAACATGTGGTAAATAAAATTATAAACTAAAAATATTACCTTTCCATGTATAATGATCCAACAATCGCCACGAGTATTATGTTTAGCAACTTCTTCTTTTGAAACCATTTTATTTATTTATTTATTTATTTAATTCTATTATTACTATATATTTTTAATGAATTAAACTCGTTTGTCTTTTAAAAATAAATTTATTTATATTTTTTAAAAAAAAAATTAAAAAAAAAAAAAAAACTATTTTTTAAAAATTTTTTTAATTTTTTAAAAATTATTTTATAAAAATGGAAATGAATATTCTCAAAGATTCCATTTTTTTTTTTTAAAAAAATCCAAATTTAGAGATTTTTTTTTTTTTTTAAACAAAAAGAAAATAATTATTATTATATATTTATTTGACAAATAAATAAATTCTTTATAAATTAATAAAAAAATTTTATTCTTTTTATTTAATTAATAAATAATACACTTTCTTATTGTTGTATTTTCCTCGACACAAAAAATATCTTTAATTTTTTATTTAAAAAAAGTTATTATAGTTACTTTTATAATATTATGTAAGTATTATTATTAAATTTAATAAGGATGTTTCCTACAATTTTTCTAAAGTAGATAATAAAAAAGAAAAGCGAATATATTCGAAGGACAAGTATTTTAGAAAGCAAGGATGGTGGTTTTGGTATTTCACCAGGATCATCATTTTATGAGGGATTAATAATATTATTTAATTGCGAGTGAACAATGGCCCAGAGTATATTTCCAAACAAAAAAACGAACATATTACAAATAAAACATAATGTAAATCAACACATAATATAGAAATTAATAAAATAAAAACCTAAATAAAATAAATAAAAATAAAGAAAATAAATAAATAAAATTATATTTATTTATTTTCTTTATTTTTATTTATTTTATTTGAGTTTTTATTTATTTATTATCTTGATTTACTTCTTCTGTGTCATTTAATTATAAAAACAAAAAAAAAAGTGTTACATACCCTTCAATATCTTTGATTTTAACCAAAAAAACAACAATCAAGATTTATTTTGAAATACCTACAATTTCGATCTGAGGATTTATAATTACCTTGGAATCTTTTAATATGGTTGGAGACAAAGGCTCTACTAAAATATATATTTGGTTTATTAGATTGTGTAAAATTGAAATCCTGATACTGATCCTTGAAAAAAAACATTTTTTTGCAGATTTGATAATAAATTTTTTTTTTTTTTTTTTTTTTTTTTTTTAAACCTGTATATATATATATATATATATATATATTATATATATATATATATATATATATATATATATATATATATATATATATATATATATATAGATATATATATATATATATATATATATATATATAGTGTATATATGTAGGTATATATATATATCTATGATATACTATATATATATATATATATATATATATATATATATTTATATTTTTTTATATATCTCTATTAGTAAATGCCGGTATAAACATCAATGACCAAATAAGTCTTTTAGTTACTATCTCCAATGGCAACATTCCAGTTGATTTTTCAGCCAACGACACTGAAACATTAAGACAATTGATTTCACAAGTTAATTTTACAGATTTTTCAAATATTGATCAAGTATTGGCACAATTACCACCACAAATCATGTCGTTAATACCAATGGAAACTATACAATCAAAAATTCAAGAGATGAAGGCCCTTATGAGAATAATATCTGGAATGCCTCAAACAAACCAAGAAAACCATATGCCTCAAAAATCCAGTGACCATAGAGGAAATCTGA